TACCCGTGTGGTGTGCACCCACCTAGTGCACACAGCCATGACAAGGCTCATACGGCATCTCGCTTCCCCCATCACGTGGTAATTGCATCTCTGCATTGGCTTGCAGCATCTGCATTGGCAGTCATGTGACCCAAGGCAGTCAGCATGTAACCGATACGTCTGAGAGAACCGGGGTGTACCTTGGAGGCGAAGGTGGCTTGCGGCCAGTCCAGCAGCGCTGCCAGCATCTGCCCCGTCTGGTTGCAGTCGTCGTCTATTGCCTGGTGGGCGGAGAGGAGGGAGAGGTGGGAGACAAACGGAGTGAGGGCGACGGAAAGAGTAGAGCGGACGAGTGCGGTAACAAGGGGCCAGTCCAGCAGCGCTGCCAGCATCTGCTCCGGCTGGTTGCGGTCGTCGTCTATTGCCTGGAAGGGGGAGGTGGAGGGAGGAGAGGGTGGAGACGAGTGGGGCGAGAGGGACGAGAAGAGTGGACGCAACGCAGCGAGCATCTGCCCCGGCTGGTTGCGGTCGTTGACTACTGCCTGCATGGGAGGGGAGGGAGAAAAAAGAGGAGAACGAGGTTGTGTGACCTAGTTACGAGGTGGGGAGGGAGAATAGGAGAGCCGCCGCCATCTGCCCCGTCTGGCTTCGCCGCCGCCGCCGCCGCCGCCGCCACCACCACCACCACCAGCACAGTATATAGTGACTTCACTTTTCCTCGCCTGCTTCCCCAGGAACATCATATCAGCCGTCTCCTTGAGAGCAACTCCTTTGAGTAGCTTCGGACCGTACTGATGCCTGCTGTGACTTGAGATGAGACCGTGCTAGAGCAGCTTCAATCCGTACCACCTGAATACCACCACCTGCCCTCTCACCTCGGAACACCATCCGTACTGAATACCCCCAGGATCACCAGGTCAGCTGTCTCCTTGAGCGCAACCCCTTTGAGCAGCTTCACCACGATCAACGGCTCCAGTGCCTCCTCCTGTGACGATACTATCAGCAGCACCATTACTTACCTTATATTACCACCACTGGCACTCATCATACCTGCTTTCCCAGGAAAACCAGGTTGGCTGTCTCCTTGAGCTCAACCCCTTTGAGTAGCTCAACCCCTTTGAGTAGCTCAACCCCTTCGCCACGATCAATGGTTCCAGCTCCTCCTCCTGTCCCACTCGTTCACTCACTGCTCACAACACCAACAGCAGCACTGAGTCCCTTCAGCCATCTCACCTGCTTCCCCAGGAACACCATATCAGCCGCCTCTTTCAAAGCAACCCCTTTGAGCAGCTTAGCGACGATCAACGGCTCCAACGCCTCCTCCTGTGCCGCATCCACCTTCACCAGTACCGCCCTGTCTGCTCCCATGGCTAGAGCGGTTCTGCACACAACACCCTCAAGCAGGGGAAGAGCAGCAGAGAGCAAGGGGTGAGCGGTGGGGAAAGAGGCTCCAACGCCTCCTCCTGTGCGGCATCCACCTTCACCAGTACCGCTCTGTCCTCTCCCCCCCCATCGCGAGAGCGGTTCTGCACACAACACACACAATCAGGGACGGAGCAGCAGAGAGCAAGGGGTGAGCGGTGGAGGGGAAGAGGCTTCAATGCCTCCTCTTGTGCTGTGCTGTGCCGTGCCGCGTCCACCTTCACCAGTTCCGCCCTGTCCGCCCCCTTTTCCCTTTACCGAGGTGAGTTGAGCCATTTCCACCACGCTGTACCTGTTTAAAACTCATCCAGCCCAGCACTGGTCTCACTCACCTGAGCGTGTCCTGGCACTGCTGATCTCACCTGAGCGTGTCCTGGCACTGCTGATCTCACCTGAGCGTGTCCTGGCACTGCTGATCTCACCTGAGCGTGTCCTGGCACTGCTGATCTCACCTGAGCGTGTCCTGGCACTGCTGCACGCCCAGGCTGACGGCCACGACCTCCTTGATCGCCCCCTTCTCCCTCAGCCGTATGGCCTCCTCCACTGCGATCTCACAGAAGGGATTCATCGACATCTTCACACTCGCCTTCTCCACTCCGGACTGATTGGGGAGGGGGCGAGGAGGGGAAAGGGAGGAAGAGCAGAGGGCTCAGCCGTATGGCCTCCTCCACTGCAATCTCACAGAAGGGGTTCATTGGCATCTTCACACTCGCCTTCTCCACCCCAGACTGGTTGTGATAGGGATGGGGACACAGGCAGGCAGAAGCAGGGACACAGGCAGGCAGAAGCAGGGACACAGGGGGAGGAAGGCGTTGAGCCGTACCGCCTCCTCCCCTGCGATCTCACAGAGGGGGTTCATTGACATCTTCACACTCGCCTTCTCCACTCCGGACTGGTGGGAGGGATAGCGGGGGGGGAGTGGGGAGAGGAGAAAGGAGAGCAGTGGACTTGGGTTGACTGACTGCCCTCCTCCAGCGCGGCCTCGCAAAGGCAACTCATTGACATCTTCACACTCGCCTTCTCCACTCCACTCAAAATGGGGAGGGATGGGAGTTAGGAAGGGGTAAGGCAGGCAGACAGAAGCGCAGACACGGGGGAGGGAGACCATACGGAAGGGAGAGGAGGGGGTTGGGCCGTGTGCCCCCTAACCCCCCCCCCCCCCCCTCCCCTCCCAGAAGAGATTAGTGACATGTTACACTCACTTGTTCCACTCCGGCCAGGACTGGCACTCCATACCCCCCCAGGCCAGGACTGGCACTCCATACCCCCCCAGGCCAGGACTGGCACTCCATACCCCCCCAGGCCAGGACTGGCACTCCATACCCCCCCAGGCCAGGACTGGCACTCCATACCCCCCCAGGCCAGGACTGGCACTCCATACCCCCCCAGGCCAGGACTGGCACTCCATACCCCCCCAGGCCAGGACTGGCACTCCATACCCCCCCAGGCCAGGACTGGCACTCCATACCCCCCCAGGCCAGGACTGGCACTCCATACCCCCCCAGGCCAGGACTGGCACTCCATACCCCCCCAGGCCGCCAGGGGGAACGGAAAAGGACGGAGTGGAGAGGAGGATGGGGATGTGAGCTCTTTTTACTAAATTTAAACCTCGCGTGGAAAGAGAGAGGGGAGAGGGAAGAGGAGGGGCGGGGGGAGGGGAGAGGGAGAGAGGAGGGGAGGAGTTGGGGAGGGAGAGGAGGAACAGAAGGTAGGGGAATAGGAGAAATGTCCGTTTCTCTGCTATGGTTCCATCCCCGCTACAGTCTTATCCGTGATAAAATCCCATCCGTGCGATAATCCTATCCCCGCTATAGTCGTGCCTCGCTATAAGCTCACCCCGTCCGCCTTGACGCGGATCTTGGCGGCATAGTCGATCACGCGCTTCACGGCCACCAGCGCCCTCATGCTCGCTTACAGCTACCGGCACACTTGACGGCCAACGGTAGACTTGACGGGCGATGAACGCAACGCCTGCGACGTTTTTCTACGCTCTACGCCCGCCGCTATCGGCGCCGCGAGGTGCGGCGAAACAGGCCGTCGAAGGGCCCCGTAGGAAGAGAGCGAAGCGGCAGATTGAGCCCGCGCTCGAACCGCCTCTCTGACGAGGTGGGATAATACTGCCACGTGTAACGCGATGAGTGGAGGAGAGACGGGACGGAAAGCGACCAGCGGAGAGTCTGCGTGGGCGAGCGGCTCGGGTAAGGCGCACGCAGATGCGGAGAGCGCGGCGGGACGAGCGGAAAGCGCAGACCGCGAAAGGGACGGCGGGGAAGTGAGCGGCTAATAGCGGAAGCTGCTGGGAGAGGCGCGGCGCGGGCTCGACGGGTCTGACGGCGGATGGCTGGTCTGCGCTGCTCGCTGTGATTGGTTGGATGGGATGCGGGAGAGCGATTGACGGCTTGGCTGCTTGGTTGCTGCTCTGACTGACTGCTGACTGGTCACTGGTCAGGAGGAGCAGAAGATTAGATTGGGGGCGTTGGTGTGGTGCGGTGTGGTGGTGTCTGGCTGGGAAGGAAGTGACAATCGTGGGGCAGGCGAGTTTGAGAGTGAAGGGGGAAAGGGAAGGGGCAGGGGGGAGTGAGGGGGGGTCGGTAGAGTTTCAAGTAACCGCTTCAGATTGCACAATATCGTGTCTAACCGCTTCTGATATACTTCTGTGACCCACCCTCAGTGAGTGTTTGCAATGCCTGATTGGGAAATCAGCGGCGGGGCCGCGTAAGAAAACGGCTGCAGCGGATGGGCTATTAGCGCGGACGTGTTGCTGCGTCAGCGTCGGGGAGTGCTGAGCTGTTATTACTTCGCCATAATCATAATCGACATTGCTCAGCTAGTAGGTTTCATGACCGGTAAGTGGAGGGAAAATACATTCAGCTTATGATCATGCCTGATATAACTTCATTTTATTAATCAATTCAATGTTAATATGCACAGTAAACCCGTATGTGTTGTTTTTATTCTGATTTTAATGATGTGCTAATTGTAGTATTTAACTCAGAAGATGCCAAAACTATTGAATACTGATTTAAATGCTTCGCTACAGTGAATGATTTTAACGATGTGCAGTCTTTACAACGGTTACATATACTGTAATGCACAGTCGAGGTGCTTGTGGGGAGGAGAGTGGGAAACCAACCAATTGGTAGGCAAGCAACTTGGCAGGTGTTACCACTTGTCCAACAGCTGCGACAGTGCGGTTTGGCAGTGAGCAATCCCATGCGCAGGCATCTGGTCTGACATGGTGCCAGCCAGCCAAAACAGACTTGCTGGTTTTCCACCTGAAGCTACTGTATGAAATTTGGGGGTGTGACTTAGGCACTTTGTGTCGTATCAGGGTCCCTTTCGCGCTGGGGGGTTGTGCTGCATGCATCTCTGACCAACAATACTGGAAATCAAAATTATCTTGAAAGCGCTGCTCTGAATGTAACTAGCTATCTTCAAAACAAACTCCAATTGCATAATTGGACACTCCCTGGCCTCTTTCCCAGCTTTGGCTGCTTGCGCTTCGCAGCTCACATTTCAGGAAGCACCGACTTGCACCTATCAGCCCGTCACTTGTACGTGTACTCACAGCAGTTTCGTTTTGGAAGTGACTGTCACAGATGCTGTCGTGTATCGCACTCACTGTGCTTATCCCAACCCCAAACCAACCCAAACCAGCCTAAACCTCGCTCTCTGCTCCTAGCGCGACCCCACCCCATCCCACCTGAAGGAAACAGAACCTCGCTAACCAGGACTTATCAGTAGACTGCCTAACCTAGTAGACCATAGCAGCTGCCTAACGACCTAGGGTGTGGGGGAGTCAGGTAGTACGTAAAAGCAGTATTGGTTGCTAAGAAGGAAAGCAAAAGGAAGAATCCTATTTGGCTCTCTGGGTGGAGTGGAGATTAACGAGCGAAACGTCGAAATGGATGTCTCACGGAAAGATGGCGAGCAAGCGGCACGATTTGCGCGGATGTGCCAGAGGAGATTAACTCCGTTACTAGTTTGGTCACTCGGCGCGCTGCTCCTCGCGTCGTTGGCACTTCCACTCACAGAGGTAAATCCGAGTAGCCCCCAGCCATCCGCCACCTATCAACACACCTGCGTGCCTTATGTATACTTTCTCACAAGAAAGACATTGAATAGCCCCCCACCGTCTACCACCTCCTGTCCGCGCAGCCACGGGTGCTACTACTCCGCCGAGCAGTATGAATGCCATCCGAACCATCTTTGTGGGGATTCGCGCTATTAGTGCTCCGCTGCACCGCTAGTAGTCCCATATTCGTGGGTGCTCCTTTTTTCCGCTGAAACGGGTTGAATCCCTACGCTAAAAAGACCGGTTGATTTGTCAGCTGCTTAGCGAGGTGGTAACCCCATCGCAAGCTCAGTAACCCCGCCGCGAGCTTCGTCGCAGACCGCTGTTGAAAACGACACTAAATTTCTTTTCCGCTGTGCATCCCACAAATAAGACCCAGTCCTTCTTACATCCGGCCTCCAATACGCCGAGGAAAAAATTATGGCGCGACTCCTTACACCTTAACATCTGGCCTCCTTTTCTCGCAGCTTCTCCGTCCTCCCCGCCTTCTCTCCTCCAGCTTCACGCACGTCGGGCCAACAGACTCTCGACTGGGAAGGGACAGCGAAACGTCTCGAAAGGGTCCGTCCTACATTTCCCCCTCCCAACCCTTACCTTTCCCACCCGCGTTCCTCTCTTCCCCTCCCGCCCTTTGCTCCCTCCCGTTTCCCCACCCCTCGCAGGCCGCCTCTTCCGCCGCGACATCTTGTTTTGAGGCGGCTCAAAACAAGACTTCCCCTCCCGCCCCTCCCTCTCGCCCTTCTGTCCCTCCCATTCCCCCTCCCCTCGCAGGCCGCCGCTTCCTTCGCGACGTCCGGAAGATCCACCGGCGTCGCTGGCACGTCCACGGCCGGCAGCACAACCGGCGGAGACGGCGGCGATGCGGGAGATGACGTCATCAGCGGAAGTTACACCCCGCCGCCCAAGTGCCCGGCGGAGGACTCGACGTGCGCGGGGGGGGCGGGGACGGCGGCGGACCCCGACTCGCCGCCGGCCGTGGCGGAGTGCCCCACGGGGGAGCGGCGGTGCAGCAACGGCGCGTGCGTCAAGGTGCGATTCGTTACCATCGCTAAAGAGTTGAAACCCTCGCTACCGTGATGTGCAAACGACGGTTGATACGGCGGAGTTGAATGAAACTCTCGCTTGTGTTTCGAGCGCTTTGGCGGATAGCGGAGCCACGTGAAAGAAGAGTGTTTTTGAGACGTCTCAATATCACTCTTCTTTCACGTTGCTTTGCTTGCTAGCGGAGCCACGCGCGCTTTCAGTCAAGACAGGGCTTTGTGTTGCCATGCTGTCTGTCGGCGCGTGCCTCCCTCGCTCACCCTTTTTCTCTCCTTCCTTACCTTTCCCCCCGCAGATCGGCATGCTCTGCACGCTCTCCCTGCAGTGCACAGCGGGCCAGTTCCGCTGCCACGACAGCAGCGGATGCGTGCCTTCCCCCCTCACTCCCCTCCCTGTGCTCTGCCCGTGTCTTCCACCCTCGCCCTCCCCCTTCCCCGTCAGATCGGCATGCTCTGCATGCTCTCCCTGCAATCATTGCACTGCACGGCGGGGCAGTTCCGTTGCCACGCCAGCAGCGGGTGCGTGCCTTCCCCACTCACTCCCCTCCCCATTTACCCCCCACCCACCCCTCCCCATTTACCCCCCACCCACCCCTCCCCCCCGCCCCCCAGATCGGCATGCTCTGCACGCTCTCCCTGCAATCATTGCAGTGCACGGCGGGGCAGTTCCGCTGCCACGACAACAGCGGGTGCGTGCCGGACTCGGCGGTGTGCGACGGGCAGGAGGATTGCAACGATGGGTCGGACGAGACAGGCGACGACTGCGAACTCATCAGCGGGTGTCTCGCGCAGGGACTGGTGAGTTGGACTCGTGACTGGGGGTGGTTACTGGGGGTGGTGATCTATGCCTTCTCTCCCCTTTCAAGCGGGTGTGTGCCGGGCGAGGCGGTGTGTGACGGCCAGAAGGATTGTAACGATGGGTCGGACGAGACAGTCAACGATTGCGTGTTGATTAGCGGATGCTTAGCGCAAGGGCTGGTGAGTGAGGGCCGGTATCAGCAGAAGCTAGTAAGATCAGAGGCTAGAGGGTGGGTGGGACTCAGCGGTGTGTGACGGCCAGAAGGATTGCAACGATGGGTCGGACGAGACAGGCGACGACTGCGAACTCATCAGCGGGTGCTTGGTACAGGGGCTGGTGAGTGGGGAGATGGCTTGAGTCGAGGCTGGGCAGAGGCTAATCAGAGCAGAGGCTAGTGGGTGGGTTAGACGAGGCGGTGTGCGACGGGCAGGAGGATTGCAACGACGGATCCGACGAGTTGGGCGACGATTGCGAACTCATCAGCGGCTGCCTGGCGCAGGGACTGGTGAGTGGAGGCTGGTTTGAACAGGCGCTGGTGATTGGGGTGAGTTGGGCTGGTGAATCGGCCTTCTTTCTCCTCATGATGGTGCTTTGCTCATCGCCTCCTTCCCCTGCACTTCTCTCTGCCCTCCACCTTCTTGCCCTTCCTTGTTCTCCGTTTCCCTCCGCCCCTCGCCAGGCTGCCTGCCCCGCAGACGTGCAGTGCATTGCCACTCGGAAGTTCTGCGACGGAGTGAACGACTGCAAGAGCGGGTCGGAGGAGGGTGAGGACTTCTGCTCCACTTACAGGTGTCCACGTGGCACCTTCAAGTGCCCCTCCTCGCCACTCATCTGCCGCCCGGGCGCCATGTGCGACGGCAAGAACCACTGCCCTGTAACGAATCCCGACCTGCCTTATACGGAGGATGAAGACCCGGCGATGTGCAGCAGCTTCACCCGACCCATAGGTGAGAATGTCTTGATTTTCGTGGGTTTCTGTTGTGTTTTTATCATTTCAGCATATCAGGGAAGGCTGTAGTAACAGCAGTAGGCTCACTGACCCAGTCTGTATCCCTCCCCTTCAACCCATTCTTCCCACTCACACCTATACTTGCACTTCTAGGCCCTCGTCCCAAACACCTCCCCTGCCCTCTCTCCTCTGTCCCTCTCCCCTCCCCCTGTCGTGCATGTGCGAGCACAGACCCCCGCACAGGCCTTCCCACCAGCGGCGCCACCATCACCCGCGTGGGGGATGGTCCCCTGGGCCCCGGCCAGAGAGGCGCGAGCGGAGGGACTGGCGGGGGGAGTGGTGGTGGGAAGGGTGGTGGGAAGGGCGGGAAGGGTGGGAAGGGTGGGAAGGGCGGAGGAAAGGGTAGTGGTGGTGGGAAGGGGAAGGGGAGTGATGGTGGGAAGGGAAAGGGGAGTGGAGGAAGTGGGGATAATGCAGGGAATGGAAAGGGGAGCCAGGTGGATGCATCAGGGGAGGTGAAAAAGCAGGCAGACAAGGTAAAAGCAGCAGCGGACAAGGTCAAGCAAAAAGTGAAACCAACGGGAATCGTTGTGCCTAAGCGTGGGGGCGGAAATTAAGTTGGATGAGAGGGCGCATGTTGAAGCGGCACGCAAGAAAAGCTCGTCTTTTGTTTGTGTATACTAGCTGTTCTTTGGATTAGGTGGATGAATGTTCATGTTGGATGAAATTGTGTCTGCTGAACATTAACATGATTCTAATTGTTTTAAGGTTCAGTTGTGAAGCCTTGCACTGACTCTGCTGTTATATGCTGTTGTTATAAATTGCATATCTCGCCCTATCCTTATTCCGTGGGAGCTGGCCCAATCAGGCCAAAGCAGCTGAGGGATCACCTGCGGGTCGAACTTGACGTTACGTTCTCACAACCTTGCGCTGTTTGTCTCTATCGCATTCGCATGTCTCCCTTCCCATTGATTCGCGTCGCGTCGCATCGCATTGCAGTGACACCCACCGACCGACAATCCATTCTGCACTCCACACACAACACCCACACACAACGGCCCTGTTCTGTTGCCGCACTACTAGTACGGAACCCTCCGCACAGCACCAACTGATGCTTCGACAGGGCTTCTACCGGTGATCCTCAAAGCTTCCTTTTCAAGGGCGTACTCCTTGAAACAGGCTCGAAACCCTGAACTCCATCCCGAACCTGGCCAGTGCTGTGCTGTGCTGTGCGGCCCAACAAACGCATAAGAACAGAGAACCAGTGGTGCTGTGCTATCCCCTCCTCCCAGGCAAACTGGGTGCGAGACTGGTGCTAACATGGTTCCCACTCGGAGAGGGAACCCAGGGACAGCACAAGTAGTTCCGGGCATTTCAAAACTTTGTTCTTAGTCTTGGTTGGCCCTTTGATGGTCAGACGATTCAACCATCCAATGGTTGCTCGCGAGAGGAGGTTTTACGGTCTGCGAAGAGAAAAAAAATATTTGCCTTGAAGGTGCGTAGAGGGGGGCACGAAGCTAGCGAGAGCTTTCGTGCTTTTGGGTGCGTGCCGAGCCTCTTGTCGCACAGCTGGTGCTGTGCTTGGCTGTCCGCCCACAATTAGACGATGGGCAACAGAACAGGGCCAACATGCACATGTACACGCTTCGTCAGCGGGTCGAAGACACAGCAGGTTGTGTAATCCAGTTCGGTGCAGCGTGTTTTGATACGGTACAGTTCGTTTCAACTGCCAAGCCTTCCCTGGGCTAGATTCTTGTCTAGTTTACTCCAATCGCACATAAGTCGTACGGTCGTCGTCGGCTTGTCGTTCAATGTCAGGTGTAATGTCGCAAACCCATCGCAGCAAAATGGTCTGCTTTCTGCTATGGAGAGGGCTTTGACTCGATTTCTCCCCTCCACACCCGACCCGATCCACAGGATTCGACACTCCATTGCTAGAAGCTAACTAGAGCGGCACGAGGGCCGTTATGTCATAGGGACCACGAGTTGATGCGTGATTGTAGAGCCCGGGGCTTTAACGGGGCTTCGCCCAGGCTTCCAGAAAGACCCTTCGTCCGCAAGTCAGTTCATTAACTACGGCACGCAATGACGATGCGTCCTTAGCTTTCGTGGGTACTTGCACCGAATTTCGTTCGCCAAATGGCGTTCTTAGCTCTCGTGGGTCCAGGAGATGCGCGCCTCGACGACAGGAAAGGCGACGACAGAGCAATCAACGACATAGCAGTCAACGACAGAGCAGGCGACGACAGAGCAGGCGACGACAGAGCAGTCGACGACAGAGCAGGCGACGACAGAGCAGGCGACGACAGAACAGGCGACGACAGAGCAGGCGACGACAGAGCAGGCGACGACAGAGCAAGCGACGAGGGGGCACAAAACTCGTGTTCCTGGCATGGTCAAGGCGACTCGACACGCCGCTGTTGTCCAGAACGCACGTGCTGCTCTTGTCCAGGGGGTACGACTCATTCTTCGCCATGGGCCCTGAATTGTTTTGAGTCAAAACACACACGGGCCCTGAATTGTTTTGAGTCAAAACACACACGGGCCCTGAATTGCCGCGAACTTTTGCAAAGAAGCGACTGCGGTGATTGCGTTGGCCTTCACTATAGTAACCCCCTCTATAGTGACTATAACGAGCGTTGCTACACCTCCTCGACTGCTGTAGATGACGGCCTTTGCCGAGCCGACCCTGTGACGGTTGGGGATGTGACACTATCGTGCGGCTGGGAGCCGCTTCTCAGCAGGAGCAGCCCGCAGAACGCGGACTCTTGCTGGAGCAAACGGTTCAGACGGCTGGGACGGCTACAATCGCAGCAGTCGCAGCCGCTACAGCCGCAGCAGTCGCAGCCGCAGCCTTCCCTCTTGAGAGAATCGCTTTCTTTCTTCCGAATTACAGTATCTCCGCGTCATCCGCCACATTCCACGCTCGGCTTCCTCGCGCATCCCATCCGCACACTCCTTGTCTTCCTGCTTCTCCTCTCCGCACCCTTCCCCTCGCTCCCCTCCCCTTTCCCCTACGCCCCCCCATTCTCCGCCTTCCCCTTCTCCGCCTTCTCCCCCGCCATCCTCGTGGCGTGGGCGCAAGAGGACCTCCCCTCGATCATCACCGCGCCCTCGCCGTGCCCGCGCGGGCAGCGGCGGTGCTACGGCGCGCGGATTGCGGTCACGGGCGTGGACGGGGCGCGCATAACGGCCTTGCGTACAACATCGAGCAGCGGCAGCGGCGCTAGCAGCAGCAGCAGCAGCAGCAGCACCGCCACAAGCAGCGGTAGCGTCGGCAGCAGCAGTAGCAAGATTAGCAGCAGCAGCACCAGTGAAAGTGGCAATAGCGAGGGGACGGGAGGCACGTGCGTGGATGTGGGTTCCACGTGTCCCGCGCCCTGCATGGCGGGGCAGACGGCGTGCGCGGATGGCAGCGCGTGCTTTAGCACGTGGATGACGTGTGACGGCCACGTGGACTGCGCTGACGGGTCGGACGAGAACGCCGTGGCGTGTACGGGGAAGACGCCACTGCAGGACGGGGCGGGGGAGGAAGTGGGGGAGGCGGAGGGAGCAGGGGAGGTCGAGGGGGAGGGGGAGGGGGAGGGGGGAGCAGAGGAGACAAGCGATACTGATGGAAACCTCTCAGAAACACAGAACGAGCCTGCAACCTGCCCGCCTGGTTTCATCTCCTGCCCCTCCTCCCCCTTCTCCTCCCCCTCCTCCTCATCCGCTTTCTCCTGCGTGAAGGGTGCTCTCTGTGATGGCATCAACGACTGTCCCCTGGAGGCTGATCCCTTGGCTTCCTCCTCAGCCCTCTCCTCCTCTTCCGCTGCCTCCCCCATGCTTCCCTATTCCATCGATGAACACCCCCTCTTCTGCAGCTTTTTCATCTGCCCGCCGGGCTACCGGAAATGTTTGAACGGGTACGTTTGCGTGAGCGAGAAGCTGTGGTGCGACGGTGTGAACGACTGCCCGAGTGTAGACCTGGTGACCGGAAAATATATGTCGGTTAGAGTAGCGGCCAAGGCAATGACAGCAGTGCTAGAAGCAGCCGCAGCCGCAAGAACAGCAGGTTTTGCTGCCGGCAGTGCTTCGACTGCTTCTCACGGAGCAGCTTATAAAGGAGCTACGCCTGCGGCTTATACAGAGGATGAAAACCCGTCCATGTGCGCAAAGCACGTGTGCGCTGAGGGCACGGTGCGGTGCGCAGTGAACAGTAAATGCTTGGATGCCACCCGGTGGTGCGACGGCATCATCGACTGCCCTGTTACCAAAAAAGGAAATGTTACCATGAAAGCTGGTCTGAGTAGCAGCAGCAGCAGTGGGAAGGGGAGTGCGGTGGCAGCAGTGGTAACTGGAGAGGATGAGGATCCGGGTGTGTGTGCGAGCTGGAGTTGTCCTGATTGGGGCAGGAAGTGCAGCAACGGAGTGCAGTGTGTGGCTCGCGACCACTGGTGTGATGGCGTCTCTGACTGCCTTCCAGCCCCCTCCTCCTCCCCACCATCCCTGCCACCAGCAGCAGCAGCAGCAGCAGCAGCAGCAGTGCCAGCGCCATCAGCATCATCAGCATCGACTTCACGAGAGGCATTCAACGATGAGGATCCCGCCATGTGTGCGGCGCTGGTGTGCCCTGAGGGCCAGCGCCGCTGCCGCAACGGCTGGCAGTGCCTGGCGGAGCGCCGGTGGTGCGACGGCAGCAGCGACTGCATCCACCCCGACCCTGCGAGCAACAGCAACGACAGCAATAGTAAAGGCGGCAGCAACAGTGACAGCAGTACAAGCAGTGACAAGCCTGTTCCAGGGGACGAGGACCCGGTGTTCTGCCGCTCCTTCCGCTGCCCCACAGGCATGGGCAAGTGCCGCACCGGGCTGCAGTGCGTGCCGCTCATTCAGGGCGGCGGAATCGATGCCTCCAAGTGCCAAGGTACGGGTGGATCACCTATACTAAATGTTTGTTCGTGCTGTGAATGTTCTAAAGGAGTTCTTCTTAGTTATCAAACACCCGCTGCCGTTGAATTCTGAGTGTGTCCCCATGCTGCCCTCATCCCCATTTCCATTTCCCTACCTTCCTCTCGTTCTCGCCTCTCCCTCCTCTCTCCTCCCCTCCCCTCCCCTCCCCTCCCCTCCCCTCCCCTCCCCTCCCCTCCCCTCCCCTCCCCTCCCCTCTCCTCCCCTTCCGTCTCCTCCCCTCCCCTCTCACAGGTGCTGGGGCTGACAGTGTTGATCCACAGGATGCGGGCAGCAACAGCGACTCGCCATTCGACCCTGGGAATGGGGCTGCTGACCCGGGCAGCCAAGAAATGGGCGGCAAGAAAAGAGGCAAAGGGAAGGGGAAAGGTGGTGGTGGTGCAAAAGGCGGGGCAGGCGGGGGAGGGGGAGGAGGGGGAGAGGGAGGGGGAGGGGGAGGGAAGAGTGGTGGGGGGGCTCTAAAGAAGGCAGCAGACGCTGTTATGAAAGGACTCAAGGGCTTGGGAGGGTCGGGCAAAGGCAAGAAAGGGAAAGGCAAGGGGAAAAAGGGATGAGACGAGTAGTGAAGGGGTAGGGAGAGGAAGAGAAGAGGTCAGGGGAGCGCAGTTGACAAGAGAGTGCTTGAGGGGTTTTTGTGGCTGGTTCCAAGGAAAAGGCTGCAGAGAGGTTTTGAGGGTGGAGGCTGGAGGATGGAGGGGTGATGGTGAAGAGTGATGGTGGAGGGGCGATGGCGGTGGAGGGAGATAAAGAGTACATGGTGATTGGTTGCAAGGAGAAGTCCTTCCAACTTCCCAAGTTTATCTCCCAACCACCGCGTGTGCTGCTGGAGTTTCAACATGAGTGCCACACAATTACCGTACGCAGGATTCTGTCCCTCAATGCGCCTGCCTATTGTTTTGTTATTTCGTTCATTATTTCATTTCTTGCATTCAGGAACTTCTGCACGCGTTTCAGTCCATTCTCGCACTATGTCGTGGAGTCACCGTATGGTATTGACGGGGTCTCAAGATAAACCTTATTTTCGCATATTTTTACAATTGTAAGTAAGGGATTTTCTCGATACGGTATTCCTTAGCGCACCCTGCAACACCGCGTACAGCAGCAGCCGGTGTTCGCCCGTTACTGCTCACGGGGCTTCGCCGACTTCGCGCGCACTGTTTCACCAAACCTCGCACCAGGCATCTCGTTATCAGGGTAAAATAAAATACCCTTTTTGCACTGACTGGCGGCCGCTTCTTTTCAGTTACCCTTTCACAGGCAGGGTAGTGGATTTTTTACCCTAGGCCAGAGAGTGTAAGTTTTTCAATACCCTTTGAAAAACAGTGTAAGGAATACATTACTCTGACTGTACATTGTACAATCCCAGCTATACTGGTACCGAGTGCTCCGTAGCGAGACGAAACACTATACAGGTCACTGCAAAATGATATAATTAGCGAGATTGGAACTTGCTATCTTCCAGATCTAGTGCGCCATCATCCCAGCTGAACTACCGTAAGCCCCCGGATAGAAGCGCAGGCCTCGGATAAGCGCCGGCGCTTATAAAAGGATGGGGGCTCTTATATCCGGTCCTCGATTATAAGCGCACCACCTAGAGAAATATGATATATTATAAGCGCATCTTTGTTTTTCATTTGAAAACCTTTCAAATTTCAGAAATGAATTTCACATAATCAGGGAAACTAACTACAATTTCGATTTCCCACACTCTGAACTCACTTTTTGCGCGTCTAGTCAGCATGTGCAGTAATTGTCAGAATATTATAGCTTACTTATTTGTGTAGGCTATAGTGGGGTATCCCATAGGGGGTACAACCCAACTAGGGTTTCCTATTTGTACTCACTTCATTCATAGTCATTCCATTCTCGTTCGCTTCTTCTCATGGAATCAGAGCAGGTTCCCTTGTGGGAACTGTGCTTAGGGCCCACCACTTAGAATTTTTTTCTGTCCTAGCGCCTTGCGCCCTAGCGCCTACCCTAGCGCCCGCCCTAGAGCCCTAGCGCCCGCCCTAGCGCCCGCCCTAGCGCCCGCCCTAGCGCCTGCCCTAGCGCCCTAGCGCCCGGCGCCCGCCCTAGCGCCCGATAGCCGCCCGCGGCCTGTCCGTGCGCTGCCGCCCGTGCGCCGCCGCCCGTGAGCGCCGCCCATGAGCGCCGCCCGTGAGCACTGCCCGTGAGCGCCGCCCGTCAACCGCCGCTGGTGCGCAGCCGCCCGTGACGCCGCCGCCCGTGACGCCGCCGCCCGTGAGCCGCCGCCCGTGAGCCGCCGCCCGTGAGCCGCCCACCTGCACGCCGCCCGCCCGTGAGCCGGCACTGCCAGTGAGCCGCCCGCCCGTGCGCCACCAGCCCGCCCGTGAGCCGCCCGCCCGTGAGCTGCCCGCCCGTGAGCCGCCCGCTCGTGAGCCGCCCACGACGCCGACGCCGCCGACGCCGCCGACGCCGCCCGTGCACCGCCGACGCCGCCGACGTCACCCGTGAGCCACCGACGCCGCCGACGCCGCCGACGCCGCCCGTGAGCCGCTGACGCCGCCGTCGCCGCCGACACCGCCCGTGAGCAGCCGACCCCGCCCTCGAGCAGCCCGTGTAGCTGCCCCAGCCGCCCGTGCAGCCGCCCCAGCCGCCCGAAAGCCGCCCGTGCGCCGCCGCGAGCCGCCCCAGCCGCCCGTGAGCCACCCGCGAGCCGCCCCAGCCGCTCGTGCTGTCGCCCGCGAGACGCCCGCGCCGCCCGAGCCGCCCGAGCCGCCCGAGCCGCCCGAGCCGCCCGAGCCGCCCGAGCCGCCCGAGCCGCCCGAGCAGCCTGAGGTGTCGACCTCCTGTTCCTGTGGGGCTGTCGCTGCTCTTGGGCCGCCGTAGCTGCTGTGCTGCTGTGTGGCTGTACTCCTGAGCTACCCGACTCTTCCCGCCCGGTGAGACTGTCAGCTGCTATAATGGCCACCCCCAGCGTCCTGTCTTTTGACGCTGAGGGTCGCGCCATTGACTTTGCAGTCTGGGTCGAGGACCTGTAGCTGTACTTACTGTGCGATGCGATAGATGAGGTTTCTCTCTTTGACTTTGTCTCTGGCGCTGTCCCTGCCCCTCCTGCTGATGCTGACCCCTCTGTTCGCTCCAAGTGGGCCACGCGCGATGCTGCTGCACGTCTTGCTGTGCGTCGCCACCTCCCTTCCTCCGAGCGTGCACACTTTAGTCAGTGCAAGACCGCTCAGGCCTTGTACGACGCTGTAGTTGCGCGCTACTCCTCCCCTTCCTCCGCTACACTGAGCCGCCTCATGCTACCGTTCCTCTTCCCTGACCTCGCTGCCTTTCCCACAGTCGCTGACCTCTTTACCCACCTCCGCGCTAGTGACACTCGCTACCGCGCTGCGCTTCCTGCTGAGTTCCGCGCCGCAAACCCTCCTCCCATGTACATCACTCTCTACTTTCTAGTCACCCGTCTCCCTGAGTCCCTTCGTGCCGTTAGGGACCAGATTCTCTCTGTCTGTCCCACCACCCTCACTGTCGACCTCCTTGAGAAGTCCCTGCTAGTGGCTGAGAAGAGTATAGTCGCTGTAGGGGCCTCTTGTGGTGACCCTCGCACCCCCATCTTTGAGGGGTGTTCTCCTTCCCCCCTACTTCCCTCTGTCGCCTCTGCTGCTGCGGCCGACCTCGTTGGTTTGGAGTCGGTCGGTGCGGCGTCTGCCCCCAGCGGTAGGCGCCGCTCCGGCAGGGGCAAGGGGGGCAAGGGAGCGGGTGGAGCTAGCGGGGGCGGTGGCGGAGGCGGTGGAGGCGGCGGGGGGAGTGGGGGTGGCAGTGGAGGTGGTGGCGGGAGTGGAGGTACTAGTGGCGGCGGTGGAGGCGGAGGTGGTGGCGGTGGTGGCGGTGGGAGCGGCGGGGGCGAGGGTGGCGGTGGCGGCGGTGGCGGCGGAGGCGGGGGTGGCGGTGGTGGAGGTGGTCGGAGTGGCTCGTCCCAGCGGAGCACCACTGGAGGTAGTCAGCGCCAGCAGCAGCAGCAGCAGCAGTAGCAACGCTCTCGCGACGTCCCCACCCCTCAGCAGCTCCGTGAGTGGTACTCCCAGCGTCAGCGTGGTGGGCGTTCGGTCCCTCCACCTACGTCGTTCGCACCGGCGACCGTGCGGGTGAGTAGTGTGGGGGCACCCACACCGCCCGCCGCTGCTTTGCCCGCTTGACCGACGCTTGGCGCCAGCAGTTTCCGGAGGCCTCTGAGATCCCCCGCTGGGGAGAGCTGTCTAGGGCTGGTGTATCTATCTTTGATCTTGACTTTGATGCTATTCTTGCTGCCATGTATGCTGTGACTGTTAGTGATGAGGGTGACTGTTACCGGTGTTTCCCGCCCGATCCGGGCATTGAGTCTGCTGCTCTAGGTACTGGTGCGGCTGCTGCCCTAGGTGCTTGCGACGCTGCTGCTCTAGGTGCTAGTGTGTCTGCGTCCTCAGGTAATGGTGAGTCTGCGCTCTCAGGTACTACGTCGGCTTCGGCCTCCCTCACCTTCACCCTTGACTCTGGGGCGTCTCGCTCCTTCTTTCGGGACCGCACCACTCTCACGCCGCTTAGTCCGCCGGTTGCGGTGTCCCTGGCTGACCCCTCTGGGGGTCCTGTCCTGTCTCGTTTCTCCACAGTCCTCCCGTGTCCGGCGGCTCCCTCTGGCACCCTGACTGGTCTCTACCTCCCCTCGTTCTCTACGAACCTGGTGAGTGGTGCTGACCTACAGGATGGGGGTGTCCACCAGTTCACTCCTGCACGTCAGCGGGTGACACACTGCACAGAGGCTAGCACAGGTCGCCACTTAGCTACGTTTACATGTCAGCCAGGGTCGAGCCTGTACAGACCGACCACTGCTTCTCCTCCCGGTGCTGAGTCTGGTAGAGTCCCTTCGTCTGGTCAGGTGTTTGCTGCAGCGTCCAGGTCTGGTCCTGAGTCTGCCCCCTGTTCGTGTCGCCGTCTGTCTCACGAGACTCTCCTCTGGCACCAACGCCTTGGCCACCCCTCTCTGCTTCGGCTCAGAGGCATGGCCTCCCGTCTTCTTGTGTCTGGTCTCCCCCGGTCCCTCCCTCCCCTTCCTCAGGGCCCTGGCCCTGCCTGTGTCCCCTGCGTCGAGGGGCGCCAGCGTGCTGCCCCTCACTCCTCCCAGTTTCCTCCGACAGAGGCTCTGTTGCAGACACTTCACATGGACGTGTGGGGCCCTGCCCGCGTCCATGGACTCGGTCACGAGCGCTACTTCCTGTTGGTGGTTTACGACTACTCGCGTTACACCATAGTCTTCCCCTTGCGCAGCAAGGGTGATGTCACCGAGGTGCTGATCGACTGGATCCGCGCAGCTCGTCTCCAGCTCAGGCAGAACTTTGGCTCGGACTTTCCTGTGTTGCGTCTGCACTCGAACAGAGGCGGAGAGTTCTCCTCTGGCCTTCTACGTGCCTTCTGTCGTGCGCGAGGCATCCGCCAGACCTTCACGCTTCCGGACTCACCGCAGCAAAATGGGATTGCAGAGCGCCGCATTGGCATGGTCATGGACGTCGCTCGTACGTCTATGATGCATGCGGCTGCCCCCCATTTTCTGTGGCCG